AACTCCGACGAAACAGTTTGTCACAGCCCCTCGTTTGTTGTCCTCTTCTCTCTCTCTGCCTACGGTTTACCGGGCAGTTCTGTTTGTGACGATATATATTAGCTAGACTTTTTATTTTAAATTTGGTAAAAAGAAATCGATGTGACCCTGAGGCAAAAGTTGTTCAGTTTATTTTCTGCGTTTTTTTTTTTCAGATTTTTAAATTTTTTGGATTTCGTTTTGTTGATGGGACCTTCTTTAGCCACGGCTGGGCCGCCCGGGCAAACAAGGTGACCCAGGTGGCCCGGCTGGTAGCCTAGGCCAGGGGTGAATTTTGCATGAAAAAGCGTTTTGCATTGGTATGCAAAGAACCATGTTCAGAATCCGCACACAAACAGTGTAGGGTCGTAACTTTTGGTCAAGTCACAGTTCAGGAGTCCAGAGTCATGTCCACCGCCCGAGAGCAGGTGTCAGAAAGTCCTAGGGTCAGAGGGTACTGGGTCCAAGATCAAAGAGGCTTACAAATTTGGAGGAGATGTGCAGCATTTTCTTTGGGCACATTGTGGGATGATCAGCGTGGAAGGAAAAGGAAGGGAAAGGGTGATGGGAGGAGATATTTACCTTGTGCGCTGCTGGACCGGAGTCGCTGGTACGGGTGTTTTCCCTGTAGCCAATGGAGCGCCTGTGTGACCATGCACGTCAGATTTTGAGGGATGACAGAAGACTTCATTGGAACGCCATTCCGGATACAATATATAATTGGTAATTGATTGGCCATCTTCATCACGCCAGGGGGTCATGCACGTGATTGCCTGGTTGGAATCTGGTTATTCTGGATGTATCCTGGCTTGGTCATGCACGTGATCTCAGTGCCCGTGGTTCTATGTCCCTTCTACTGAGAGTCCAGCTGGTCTGTGTGAGTCAAGATTTTCAGTAGAATTTTGGAAATCATTTAGAAAGTAGTTGTGTTTGTCTTCCTTGACAAGTCAGATTCTAGGAGAAGAAGTGTGCATCCCGAGCAGCAAGCCTAATTGCCTCATTAATTTTGAGGTTGTGGGACTTAACGTTGTTGTCACGGGCACCTTACAAGGGTGTCTGTTATGTGTTTGGGTGGCCATGTACAGGAGGAGACAGCTTGCCTGGTCAGCCAGACGTTTGGCAAGGCTGGCCAGATCCAAGGTTGGGCCAGGCGGGCGTAAGAGATCCGGAATCGTCAGTGAGGCAGGCCTGAACAGCCTGGAAGGGCCTCAGAGGCGCAGTGTGCGACCATACCTTGGCTAATGTGCATGATCCCATCCGAACTTGGAAGTGCCGCCGCGGTGGAGTGTGCTGGGATGGGTGATCATTAAGACTGAAACAGGCAGGAGAAAGAGGCATCCAGTACTACTCGATTGACCTGGCTATATTTTGTGCCAGGCGGCCCCAGTACCACAGTAGTTATAGATCCGTACAACGGGGCCCAAGGCCCTCCTCTGTGCAAGTGCGGATTCGAGCTGGCGACCTCGGCCTCAAGAGCCAAGTCTCTAAACCACCAGTACTGAGCCCAGCTATCGAGTCCGACCCTTCTGCTACCGGTATGCCGAGCCTTGCCGAGCCTAGAGCTACCGGTAGCAGGACGGTCGTCCTTTCCAAAACAAAAAAAAAATGTGAGGATTGAGCCCTCAAGTAGGGGCCTTGCCATGATGTACATGTTCTGGGCTAAGGCCCCAGCAAGCCTAGTGCCCGCCCTAAGTGAAGGCAGGCCAGCAAATCAACAAGAGCCCTCTGTGCAAACATTTCCCGAAGTGGGGTTCATACAGTTGCAGCACGCCAGTTGGTTGGAGTGCACCAAATCTCGACTTTCAGCAAATGCTGAAAACCCAGGGCCTCTGAGTTAGTTAGGCCCTGGGTGCTTGAACATGAGGCCGACAATGCATGCTGGGTATAGAGGCCGAAAATGCCAAAGGGAAATCGGCCCACTATCTGAATCTGGCCGCAGGCCTTGATGAAAGAGGCGCAACTGCATTGCCCCGGGCCTCAACTGTATCGGGCTGGGTTCAGCCACTGGGGCCCAGTCGCAGGCTGAAGGGAGGCCGCCCACACGCAGCACTGGCATATAGGCAAGCAGGGCGAGTGGGCAGGGATCTTGGCCATTGCGAGCAAGGCCGGCACGCTGCTGCATTGCATGCATGCTGCGCTGCGCTAAGGGCTGAGAGAAGCAGGACAGCGCTAAGCGATAGGGCGCTGCCTGTGGGCGCAGGGCACTGGCGGCCATAGCCAGGCTGCCTGTGTGCGCAGAGGGGTGAAGGGCGAAGGTGGTTCTTCGGAGGTGAAGGGCGCTGTGTGGGTACAAGGGAGAGTGTGGGTGAAGAGGACACGTACCTGGTGGAGGTGGAGGTCAGCATTAGTGTTGACATCATCACTCGCTGGTAGTCAAGTTGTCTGGTTGCTTTCATTGCTGTAGTTGTAGGCTTAGTCTGTAGAGTAGGTAGTGCACCTGGCGCCATTCATGAGAGAGAGCTACATTGGGTTATGCTGTTGGTGTTGCCCTGTAGGGCATGGACATTGACTCACGGTTCTTCTGTATCATTCTCAATTGGATGGTTACTCGGTTCCATTGTGCTATCTGCTTTGGCTTTGACTACTTGGACTTCAGTGTGATTTTGCATTCTGGATTTCTGTGCTTCGTCCATATTCATGTTCCTTGCAAAAAACAAAAAAACAGAATTAAAATTAATAAAAAAGGAGAAAAAACGAAAGGAATAATTTGCAAAATACCCCCATAAGTTGAGATATATGCCAAAATGCCCCTGAAAGATGTGGGTAGAGCGGAATGCCCTTTTGGGCCGAAATCTTTGTGCTGTGCCCCTGTCAGGAGGGTGTGCAACTTCGCAATCTGAACCTCCCCGTTTGGGCCTTGGCCTTTTGCAAAAGCACCTAGGAAAAGTTACTGGGGCATTTTGCAAAGTTGGATGGTACTCGGTAGGGGTGTATTTCAAAGATGGGGGTCCAACCGACACCAGGGGTATTTCACAAAATTTTTATTTTGTCAGAGGGGCATTCCGCTCTACCCACATCTTTTAGGGGCATTTTGGCATGTATCTCAACTTATGGGGGTATATTGCAAATTATCCCAAAACGAAAACAACAAGGATACAATATAATTTGCAAGGAAAATAAGCGAGAGTGATTGACAGAAAACCAAATTGCAATATCACGCTGAAGACCACATAGTCGTGTGCAAAGCAGAAAGCACAATGCACAGAGATACATGCCAAATAAAAGCAATACAATGAACCCAAATGTCAATGTCAGCCCTCTCTCACCACAACCAACATAGTATCCAATGTCGCCCTTCTTGATTGGCGCTCAGTGCCCAGCCTATCCTACTCAGGCCCTATCTAGCCTAGACTACGATATGCAACAGGAGTCACTTCAAGCCAAAGACCAATGTACGTGACAACATCGCCAACGCAGACT